CGGGACGCTCCGCGCCTGCGCCAGCAGCTCCGGCGCCCCCGGGAACGGCCGCCACGCTCACCCGCCAGGTGCGTCCTGAACCCCTCCCCACGCGCGCCTACCCTGCACCCACGCGCCCTCCGCCTGAAGGAGGGTCCCCGGGGCGGCTCCGTTCCCCACTCCGCTGCCCACGCGTCCCGCCCCACACCACGCCTCCGCGCTCCGCCGCGGCTCTGGGTGACTTCCGGCCGGGGCGGTGCTCCGGGAGGCCGTCCGGCTGGAAAGCGGGGAGCTGCTTCCTTTAGTTCCGAAGCCCCAGGTTCCGCCTCTGGGGCGGCTCAGGAGACGCTGTCGGGCGCGCCCACCTCCGTTTAAGAGGCGAGCCGGGCGTCCAGGTCTCACCTCCAGGCCGGTGCGAGGCCCTGCCGGCTCCCGCAGCGCCCGGCCCAGCCCGGCGCCAGTCCCCGAGCTCGCAGGCCCTTTGCTGTTGCACCCGCCTCCAAGATCGCCCTTCCAGCGCGCTGCGGCGCCCCCCTCCCCGACGTCCTAGCGGAGGCCACCCCACTGCGCCCCGCTTGCCAACCTGGGTTGTCTGCCGCCTTGTCCGCTCCATCAGGCCGTGAGCTCCAGGGCTCAGACGCCCTGGCCTTTCCAACGTCCCCACGCGGAGACGGCCAACCTCAGTGTCCATCGGGGGCCGGAGAGACCGGGGCCGTGCAGGGGGAGGGGCTCCTGTGAGGGGGGCCCGCGGGTGTTCAGACCGCGCCGCGGGGACTCTGCTCCCGCCTGTCTCTGCAGTGTGGGAATGGCGTCTGATTTTCAAACCCCTGGTTTTCAAAGGGGCGACCACCCCGTGTGCACAGCTGCACTCGTCACCCAATTGGGGGGCCAAATTGCAAGCTTTTCAGTAATAATGACAGCAGCGAACTCGGGGCTGTTAAAAAGCACTTTATAAATCATTGGACTCTTACAGTAGCTCTAGGACATGGGCACTTTCCAGATGAGGAAACTAAGGCACAAAGAGGTCAGGTAGCTTCCCACAGTCACAGAGCTGGACGGGGCAGAATCAGGCTTTGAACCCAGGCAGTTTGGCTCCAGAGGCCCTGCTCTTGACCCCTCAGCACCATCTAGAAGATGCTATTGGTGGCCCACCCAGACCCCCTCTAGAGGCAGGGGCCCTCACCCGCAGCTGTGATGTCGGATGCTGACATCTACACCTGTACATTTCTCTGGAAGTTTCCCTTGGCCACTGGGAGCCACCTGTCCTGGAGATGGATGTCTGGGAGGTTGTTCACACATATCCTGCCGCCCCCCCCCCCC